TAGGATGGAGGCCATCGCTACTAGGATGGAGGCCATCGTTTCTAGGATGGCGGAGGCCATCGTTTCTAGGATGGAGGCCATCGTTTCTAGGGTGGAGGCCTTCGCTAGTAAGTTGGAGGCCATCGTTTGTAGGTTGGAGGCCATCGCTACTAGGATGGAGGCCATCGTTTCTAGGATGGAGGCCATCGCTACTAGGATGGAGGCCATCGTTTCTAGGGTGGAGGCCATCGCTAGTAAGTTGGAGGCCATCGTTTCTAGGATGGAGGCCATGGCTACTAGGGTGGAGGCCATCGTTTCTAGGATGGAGGCCATCGCTACTAGGGTGGAGGCCATCGTTTCTAGGATGGAGGCCATCGCTACTAGGGTGGAGGCCATCGCTAGTAGGTTGGTGTGCATGATAGTGGCTGTACCGGATGGAAGTCCTCAAATCAGGCGAGCTCAAGCCAGACCGGCTTTCTAAAGACCTTGCGTATTTTGCGTCCCGCCCTCAATAAGAAGTGCAAGACCAGAGACCACAATGCATCATATGACCCATGTGTGGGCGGCAAGGTGCCTTCCGACCGTTGCGTGTGATCTCTCGCAACGAAAATCTTAAGATTGTTGTCTGAAGCTCAGTATGTTGAACTGGGATGAATTGGGTCGGGAAGGTCATGTAAGGTCTGTGTGATCACCAGTCGCTGTCTTCCTGTCATGGTGCTCTGAGGTCCAAACCATCTTCGCATCCATGTGAATGGCTAAGACGGGTGGATTCACCGTTTTGACAGTGACGACTTTGATTTGGCCGAACCGCCACACCGAACGCAGAATGCAAGAATGACCTGCATGACGAGAGTTTTGTGACCATTTCTGTGCCGTGTCACCTGGCCTAGGCCACATCTGCTCACACTGGTCATTGTCGCTATGTTTGGATCTCAGCTCTTTGAGTACAAACACCATGGAGGTCTGTTCCACGTGTCTCTGTTTCGCGACGTCTCAATTTCTGAACATTCAGCCAACATGGTTGATCACGAGCCTGTCAAGACGGCTGATTCCGTTTAAGGTTATTTCTGCTGATCTTTGCTCTGTTTGCCCTTTCGTATCTGAATGGCTCAGACCTCAGAATGCCCTCCCGAAATGGATCTCAGCACGCTGGGACGCTGGGCTTAGGCACCTTCTATGCGTGCGACCTTGCGACTTCGCCTGGCTTAGAGCGTGAGCTTGGGAAGGACCAATCAAGATTGCTTTTTGGATGTTTTGTTTTTCTCTGACTAGCATCATCCCTTCAGTGCGCTAAGAGTCAAGAGTCTAGAAGAACAGCTTTGGACTTTAGACTGCTTTCAGCCAGAGCAGATGGAGGACTTCGCAACACCGCTTTGCCTTCCAAGCGTTGTGGAAACAGTTGGTGTTTGGACCCCAGAGTTATCCGTTTGACCAGATACTAATGATTGGTTTCACGGTCCGGCTGCAAGCAGATGTTTACTAGACTACATCAACAGACAAGCCAGGTTTCTGGCAGCGTGACACATGGGAGCTTCGATGCCTTGCAAGCTTCATGGGCGTGGAAACTCGACCACCTTGTACGATAAGAACAGTAACTATGCACATTTTAATCATGATTGCTTGTGCTAGACTGTTTGAGCACAGAGACATGTAGGTTGGGAATACCACATCGTGTCCTGCCTCTCACAACATTGTTTGGGACTCAGAGTACTGGGCACAGATTTTGCTACCAGATGTGCACTCAGATATTTCCCTTCCAAAGATCCAAAGCTCGCTAGAAGGTTGGAGGCCATCGCTACTAGCATGGAGGCCATTGCTACTAGGGTGGAGGCCATCGCTACTAGGGTGGAGGCCAGCGCTACTAGGTTGGATGCCATCGCTACAAGGGTGGAGGCCATCGCTACGAGGTTGGAGGCCATCGCTACTAGGGTGGAGGCCATCGCTGATATATAGGTTGGAGTCCATCACTACTAGGTTGGAGGCCATCGCTATCGCTACTAGGGTGGAGGTCACTGCTATCATTATTAGCACTCGCTACTATGGGCTCACCTGGATTTGGGGCACTGAAAACCGTTTTGCTGAGTCCTGGGTTCGGCCAACACCTGACACGTGGCGCTCTTGGCTTGCAACACTCAGTGCTCTTCCTGTGGACTGGTGACGCAGCTTTGACGTGCTCAAGCTGTTTGCAGGACATGTCTGACATATCTGACATGTTTGACGTGCGCATATGACTCATATCATATTTGACATGGCTTCTTAACGGCTTCTCTTCTGAACGAGGCCTATTTGCATCGGCAGATGTTTGCCCGAGGGCTATTCACAGTGTGAACCTTGAAGCCGACTATTGCCCATTCAGATGATCTGTAACTGTAACGAGATCAAATTCCCGTCCATTCATAGGATTCCGACCACTACAATGCGTCTCGTTAAAGACGACCGCTTCCGTGTCAAAAACGATCTGAGAGAAAGACAAGTGCTGAGGTACATGCAACCTGAATGGCTGTGCCCCAAGGCATGGTCATGCGGCATGGTCAACGCTGGAAGAACTTGTTTGCTTCAACACCCTTTTTAGAGGGTTCCTTCATTGTGAAACATAGCTTTTCTCGTTCCAATTTGATGGGACAAAATTGCCTGACGCTTTGCAGGCTCTCACAATGACTGAAGAGTTGCCTGCCGCTTGTGGCCCTGAAGTGGCGAGGAGCGCATGGCTGTCTTGTTAGGCCAAACACTTTCTTCCATGGACCAACTTGTCCCAAACAGAGATGGAATTCTTTCAAGTTTCCAGCATACTGGTTTGATCACCTATCCAAAGAGAACGACAAGATCATCCCGAACCATATGTTTTGTTTCAGGAACATCACACCTGCGGAGCAACGAGGCCTGCGGCTTAGTTTACATCAAGGTGGCCGAAGACACGCCTTCTGTCAATTTACACGCGAAACAGCCAATGTATCCAGGTTGGGACTATCTAAACGCTATGAGTCTGGCACCGAGCGTTTTGATCATGCACAGTACAGCGTTGTTGACTTTGATGAGACTTTCTGATATCCTGAGATTTTTGTGTTGGTATGGCAGAGGATTTTTGTGTGGGTTTTTGCACTCACCTTCCTTTTGCTCCGTCCGCTTTGGCCGTGCCCAGCTCGCGTGGTGGTCCTGCCATGTGGTGGAAGCATGGTGAATGCCACGGGCCATGTGGCCCTGACCCAAGGTTCGTGATAAACAGTTGACTCAGGCTGCACGAGGATGTGTCAGAGAAACGGACTTCACGGCTATAGCTGCAAGTAGACAACCCGAAACCTACGGGATTACCATGGATTTTGTTTTTCCAAATGACTCATGTAACTCATGTCTGATAGTCTGGGGAGTTCCTCTTGTCTCTGAGGTGATGCCTGGAAAACCCATGAGTTGCGCGGATCTCTTCTGTGGAGAGGCTGTCCAAGCTCAGCTTTGCTCAACCTTTCAGGAACACTCCACTTGTGCAATCTGTACTTCAATTTGCCCCGCCGGGATCAAATCCCCCTCCGTCCTCACGCATTTTCTGCATCTCACAATCTAAATCCTCTCTTGCTTTGAGGCCTCAGTGTGCAGTGTGCTTGATCCTTGCCACCAATCAGATTTAATGATTGATGTCACTTCTGCACAACATCCAGAGGCAACTCGCCACAAGCTCACTCCTGCTTACCTGGTAGCTACCTTTCGCTCACCACCTCCTCTCAAGTGACAAGTTGCGTTTTCGGGGATTTCATTTTTTGAGATTATGATTATGTCATATACTCATTGACCTGCAGGTTGACGATGGGACCAAGTCCCGGTGTGAGGCAGCATGCAAGACGGCTCACTCCTCAGGTTCCAAACGTTACGAACTTTCTTGCCATCCTGGGCAAGCCTCCCAATATGTCCGAACGAGAGAAACTGACTGCTCTGAATGAATCCTGCACATTTGTTCTCAGGCCCCACATTTCTGTGTCAATGCCTGCGGTCCTGGCTTAGAGGGAAGCGCAGCTCTCAAAATGCTTCAATGAAAGCCACTTTCTGCTCATAGATTTAAACCCAAAAGGACACTCAGAATTCTTCATTGCTCTTCTTACCCTCTTTGGACCTTCCGCTGAAGCCGACAGGCGAAGGCAGCCAAACGCCATGTTCATTTTTGCACAATTGTTTGATGATCTGAAAATCCGATAGACAAGGTGCCCAGTGCGAGTCTTGCCTCATCGAGTGCGAAGCGCAGTGTAGGCGCAGTAAGGGGGGGCATCGAACAATCATGGATTGGTGTCGGGTGCTCGAATTTATGATTTGTTGGGTTTTCACCTTGCCAGCGACGGAGAAGAAGAATTGCACGCTTTGTACGTACATTGGAGAAACTTTGACGGTCTGGCATCAATTCTTGGTTGCTGCTGTAGAGCATAACAATGGATATGAGCAACTGCCAAAACCTCCGATGAAGGCAGCATCACTACAGTGAAGACTAAGTAAGTAAAATGAAGGAAACCTTCAGGAACGATAAGGTTCAGAAAAAAGACCGATAAGGTTTTAGTACATGTTGTTAGGTGTGTCCAAACCCTCAGGAACGATAAGTCAGAAGAGTGCGCACTACAACGCATAAGAGGTTTTGCACGTTGCTCATATGATACCGTCAAGGCATTGAGTAGGACGTTGGTGTCAGCTGAATCCAAGTAGCAATTGCCAAGCTCTTGCTTGTAGGGTTGGAACACATTTCTAGAATGACGACTGACCTCAGCGAAAAGGATTTTTCCTGCTGCTTAGGCGATGAAGGATAATCCCTGATTTAATGCTTCGCGTGCCAGCCAAGCTATGTGGACAGATCATGGCAAGCAAAAAAGAATTTTTGACTACAGCTGATTGGGATGGACATGTGAGGGAACTGTCTAACCTTCGAGCAACAATCCACGCAGGGTTTATGGAACTACTGGCCACTCTTCTCTATTTGTTCTTGTTGACGTTTCCGAAGAAGCTCTTGGCCATTGCCTCGTTGAACTTGTGGAGGTGTCCTGAATTCTGCGAGGGTCTCACTCGCGATGCGGCTCTATGCCTCGAGCAGGGGTCCAGGCCGCGATGGGCTTCGGCAGTATAAAGTTTTGGACAGCAGTTGTTGTGTGAGTATGCAAGCCATGCAGGTGGGTACCAACCATTAGTCAGAACTTTGACAACATCTGGTATGGAATGCCAGGACCTAAGCATTTAAGCGTATGCTGAGGTTTTGCATCCGAGACTTGATAAGGCTCACGCTGTTCGAGATCTCAACGACAGAGGGCTGGGTCGATGTGATGTACTCTGCAGCAGATTCCACGCAGCCTTATGACCCATGGCTGCAGAAAGACCTTCAGACGACCTGTGACGAGAGGACGAAGGGATTCTCACGAAGGGATGACCCATGTGCTACTGTGAGGTGCAACCGAAGCGTGACAACAATGAGACGTACTTTGCTCAGCTTGGCTGGTGTGGCTTTCTTATGGATAGATCCTGGTTTACATCAGGTTGTGGGTGCCCTTCTTCATGCTCTATATGTTCTTTAGCAACATGCTTGGCACTTAGAGCACCCAAAGCACCAAGGATTTCAATTTATCTATAGGCTCACATTGAAACCGTACAGGTTCATTGTAAATTTGAGCGTGGGAGTCATCGTGGACAAGTTCATGGAGATGAAGCCGACCAGCAACAATGTGACCCGACCATTTTGAGTTCCAGTCCAATCGCCATATCTTGCCTTTGCTTTTGAGCATCGTGTTCTACGAATGCATTAGTAACCTAGTACGTGTCTTTCTTGGACTAATTGAATGAACCCGAGAAGCTTCACTGGCATGTACCGCCCATGACAATGGCTTTTCAGATTGTGAGGTATCACTCACCGAGCCACAGAAGAATTGGATCAACTGCATTACAAGCTTGTACGCAAGGTGGCTGTTTCCTCTCACTTCTCAGAATAACAATTGTTCTATGAGATGCAATGCCTCGTCTTGCAGGCGGCAAATTGTGACCCTGACGCCAGCCCTGCAAACTTTGATGAATTTGGATGGGTTCGGGCAAGATCTCAATAGAATGATGGGACGGCACATGACGGCACATGACACAGGTCAGGGGTTCAGCCTGAATGTGAAGTAGCAGAGTATCAAAGCTCCAGATTCATTCATGGGACCTGAGCGACTCTGCATCTCCTGACTGGATCTTGCTCAAAGCACTCGAACCCCCTTGGTAGTTTGTGTGGCCAGCATGTTCCCATGCACAAAGGCCCAGCTTCGCTTACTCAGAAACTCAGAATTTGGCCAGGGATTTGCATGAGAAGCCGCGCTTTCGACGTTGGATCTATGACTTCGTGCTCCTGTTTAGAAGAAATATAGAAAGGAAATTCAGAGGGTGGATTTGGGCCTCTTCAATGACCCCTTTGAAGGGACCTCGCTGAAGGGGCCCAAGTCCACCTTCTTATCGTTTGCAAAAGCAGCAACCAGCAACCGTCAGCGAAACCTAGTGCAGGTATCGAGCACGGTCTTCGAGACGTTCATCATGGGCGCAATTTTGGTGAACACGCTGTTTTTAGTCCGGATCCGAATGACTTGAGTTCAACCCCAACAAAGCATTTTTGACGCAAGATGGCTTGACCAGAGAGCTTTGATTGTCCCCCTGCAGACACGCAGACCACGCATTTTGAGTTTGCAAGCTTCCATTTATTTCTTCTGATTGCAAGCACCAGAAGTATCAAGGCAGCAAAAATCACTCCTACTCCCTTCCCAGAGTGGGAGCCGTTCTTGGAAGCAGTCAACTATGTCTCGAGCTCGGCTGCAGAGTCAGGGTGTCCTTTGAGAAGCTTTTATGATCTGGCCAAGTTCAAACGGGTCATCAGGGGTTTTCCTTTTCTTGCAGAACTTCATTTGAAGCTTTGGTGAAGCTTTGTGCTTTGCGCGTGTTCAGAGCAGTGATTGTCTTGAGGTCTTTGCTGGTATTTTTACCATCGAATGTGTGCTCAAGCTGTTTGCACTCCATGGGAATTATTGGGGTGCCGGTGCTTAGATGTGTTTTATGCCCTGCAATCAGTTGCCTCGAATGGGAGTGGCTTCTCAAGTGCTTCTGCTTCTGTTCACGAGACATCTCCTGTAGCTCAACTTGTTCAGATTGCGAGCCCCACCAAGGGGATCGGTGGAACATTTTTGACTTCAGCTGCGTGGTCGCTGTGCTCAGATTCTCTTTCTTTGGACCTGCCTTGGCGAAACAGCTCCCCATTCACAGTCCGCTACTTGCTTGGCGATCAGTTGACTCTGAGGTGGCAACCCTGGCTGGCATAATCATCAGCAGAGCCTCAAATGCCTTAGACCAAAGGGTGCAGGGTGCAGCGCCATGCATTCCTGAGCTGCATAGTGCCGCCTTTGTGCTTCGCTTTGATCAAAGGTTCGAATCGACCCAATCATCCAAGTGATCCGGATTTTCAGAGTGGTCCGCATCCTCAGCCATCTTCGCTCTTTCGCACACATTTTTCCCGGTCACACCGAGACACATGATGGAGACAAAAACAAGTTAAACAGTTAAACTGCTTTTATTTGGCTCCTGCGCATGCAGGCAAGACTCTTCCGGCTGCTGCGCTTCTTGCGGGGTCTGTGGGCATTCCTCGCTTCGCACTTCACCGCATGCTATTTTTTGTGGCGAAAAGAGATGCTTTCAGGCCTTTATGTTAGTTTTAAGTACTTTTTTTGTAAGAAGAACACAAGAAGGTAAAGGGGCGCCTTTGCTACTTTTTGTCCTCTTTCTTTCAGAGGTCTTGGTGATTGGAATCTTGGTGTGTGCGCACCTGATGTTTGCCAGGAACAAGATTTTCATGGCGCTCCTTTTGTCCCTGCCAAAACTGATGAATGTGCTGCTGATTCTCCTCCTATTGCTGATCCTGTATAGCAAGCAGCCCAGAATCTTGTGTCATTCTGGCTTGGACAAGTTCCGTTGGGTGACTGGGCTGGATGTGAGCATTGTGGTCGTTTCCCTTGAGGCATTTTGGGTGTGAGCCTGTTTGCTACCACCAAGCTTGGAGACACACTCAATGTGCATGCGTCAGCCCCTGCATGTTGACACGGCAGCCAAGACTCATGAGTTTTCTTCGGGTATAGTCTGGACACCATTTTGCTCGGTTGAATGACAGTCAGCTGTGGAACGTTGCAGGAACTTCCAAAACTTCATTCTGGCCTTCATCACGCTCTTCCGTGCTTCCACCGGTGAGGCTGGGCTCATTGCAAAAATTGGAGAGTACTATGGCCTGTAGCTAACTGCCCCCTGTTTTAGAGGCATGACAACTTGATGACAACTTGTAAAGGAGAGTGTGGCAGCGCGGCACAGTGTGGAATGAAACTTGAGGCCTGGAACGAGATCATGCACGAATTATCGAAATCTGAGGCCAGGGACTCAGAGCCTCAGGGCCTTTGTACACATATTAGCTACCAGCTTTCTGCAAGATTCAAGCCATCGTTTCATCAAGACATATTACAGTGCTGACTCTGGTTGCTCGTTCCAGGTTACCATGTACAAACTGGGTGAATGGTGCTCCCCAAATAACCTCTTCGACACAGAGACCAAGTTCGAGGCTGGCTTTGTAGGTCAAACGGGTCACACTTTCTTACGATTTTGTTGTGGAAGGGACATATTTTGTCTGGAAGAAACTGCCAACAGCAGACAGCAACCAACTTGGCACACCTTGGAAGAGTAGGTATGGCAAAAATAAGAAGTTATGTTGTTCGACAATAGCCTGAAAATATTCCCTGCGCCGGATAGGTGCTCAAAGAGAAGTGCTTGATCGACAATCCGAACAGCTGTGTGCGGATTCACAGGAATGCCAACATTTGCATTTAGCCACCGTGACTGGCCACACAAGATTTGTTTGTCCATTTGTTTAGGTCACAAATCCATATGCATCCTTTATCTTCTGGGTCTCCTCCTCAGCCCTCTGGGGCAGGCGTCAATTGACCTTGATCCACTTGTGCATCCTGGCAGGTGACATACACACTGCTGATCACCTTTATGGTCTGCTGTCTTAGCCTGCATTTTCTTGCTCTTTCAAGCTTTGGCAAGACAAGATTTGTCCAGATCATTTACCCACAAAATCTCTTGTGTCCCAGTCTTTCTTAGAATGTCCGACAGGTCATGAACCTAGTGATTGCAGTCATTTTGGAAGGCTACGAGGCACTGAGGGCGATTGCGCTGAAAATTGATGCTTTGTGAATGAGCCGATTGATTCATATGTGGCAGGACGGAAAAGAGAGCCCTGCGTCGGAAGTTGTGGATGTTTGCGTGAAGGCAGCAACCAGGGCCTTTGTAGCCCGTTGGTGGAGTCAGCTAAGGAGCACGGTATTGCTCACCTTTTGTGGCAAAGTTGGCTGGACATCATGCTCACACTTGGGAGATGTCTGAAGTCTTGATCGTGTCCCATGGTAGAAGACATGCTCGAATGAGGCCAGATATTATGCTAGGCAGCTAGATGGTGCCTGATCGATGCATAACTTAGTACTGGATGGAGCCATCGTTTTGGAGCAACTGCAGTCTTAGTGTGGTTGCCATTTGTCGTGTTTGGATTTTCCTTGCAATTTCGGGTTGTTTGGCAGTTGTGGCTGAAGCTCGATCCAGACCACCGCATGTACTGGCCTTAAATGTTGTAACAGAAGCAAGGCCTCGAATGCCAATTACAGACGATTGCAACAGCAACGAAGATGAGGAATCCTCAGTGGATTTCACTCTTGAACACAGTGTCAAGTGGATTCTATAGGATGCCTCAACATTCCAAGCTTCCCTTGCAACCATTCAAGAAATCTTCAGAATCCTCTTATTCTGAGGTCTCTGCCTTTGGGCCAAGCGCTGAACTTCATCAACAAGGCATCTTGAGCTGTGAGCCGTCCTTCGCTGGTTCAATTACAACTACAGTACTTATCCTCTACTACGATTTGTGAGGGTCAGAGGATCTTGACCCTGAGGCTTTACGGGAAATGGAGGGACAGCAGCTTGGCAAGCAATGGTTAGCAGTTCTGCTAGGTGTAGAATGAGTTCGACGTGTGCTTTTGATGAGACGTTGGAAGATATGTCCGTCAAACAGACGTTGGATGTGAGGCGCGAGCCGGCAGCTCCTGCAGGCGCTAGCCACATGTTTGTGAAGTGATGTGAAGTGACATCGCGTGAAGTGTTGTGGGAAGTATTTGAATGAAGCGACGGCCTAAAAAAGCCCTTCAGCATTTCAAGGGTGGCCTCCGGTAGAAAACAAACGGTCCTATACATATTGCTTTGTTTGCCCTGTCACAGGTGGTTGTATTTGCGGGCCGCCACGCAGTTTCTTTTTGCTATACCTTGGGCAGGTGGTCCAAGCGGATTGTCCGCGCTGCAGGCAAGGCCAGTCAGGTTATTTGAGATTGTCACAGGAACTCTCAAAAAGAGGAGAAAGACTGCAGCAGTTCCATTCAGCTGATGATTGCAACAGTTGGTGCAGCCTGAGGAACATCAGGATCTTGAGTGAGAAACAATCAGTCTTACTATTGTGCTTGCAACATGAACAACCTCAAACTCTGTAAGGCGTCTAGCATCATAAGGCCCCAGCTCCCCCAGCAATATACTCTTCTATATGGCTCCAAACATGGCTGTTCTCAAATATATATATATATATATATACAGTATATGTGATATACATAATTTTGGCAAACGCTCAAGCATTCTTTTGTGCCCATGG